CTTCGCTGCGTCCTTAAAGCCAAAGCTGTATTAAAGAATTCCGTTTCGCAGTTGAAACTTCAACGGTATGCCGTTTAGTTTACGCTATGAGCCGGTCAGAAACGCCGATGCTCTCTGTCCCTGGTCTCTGTCTTTCGGAAGGCTTCTGGGCCCAAAGTCAGCGTAACAAAGAGTGGGGCCGGTTTAGAGCTCCAAGATTTGTAGGGTTTGGGGCTTAGGGTTTAAGAATCCTTCCGAAAGAAAACAGGAAAGAAGCCTTAGTTAAACTGTTGCAAACCAAGTAATTTGCTTTGATAGCGGTCTCCTTTTGTATAGGCTTGAGCCTGCGCTGGACTACAGGAACCTTGTAATTAACAACCGCATGAAAAGCTTCGACACCTCCGCGTAAAAGACGCTTTCAAAGGCATTCCTAAGGCGCAGCAACCCTAAACCAGGTAATATAGATCATTAGACTTGAATTTTGGGTAGTCCTATTCGTATATGAAGGCTTATGAAGGAACCCTGAGGAACATTATGGACTTCGTCCTAGGCTTATCAGTTAGGGATTGTAATCTTGCCTTTGCCTTCATCTTGCTCATGAAAACTCAAGCTAAACCCTAATCGTTTAGGGTTTAGGGTTTAGGGTACTCAAGGCATGGACAAGACACCCTTAGACCTCCTTGTGGCTTTGCGGAATCAGATGCTCAAGACTTTCGCCTCAACCCGAAACCTGACAGGGTGGATTGTAACAGTTTAGGGTTTAGGGTTTAGGGACCCTAAACCCTATCACGACTCGGAGGATCCAGGCGAGGTTCATCGGTGCCAGTCGGCGTAGGGTTTTTTCGTCTTTGGGGGTGCCATGGGTTCCCTAATTTAGGGTTTCGGGTTTAGGGTTCCCTAAACCCTAAACCCTAAACCGTCGTCAAGGCTCTGGTGACCCCTGGAGCCAAAAGCCTGCAACCCTTCTCTTCTGACTGTGCGGGTTTCGGCTGCATATAATCTAACCTGGTCTGCTCTGGTATCGATAGTATAATCTAGAATGATATGAAATAACACAGCATAAAAAAATATAGCATGATCATAAGTTGAAATGTAAGCAAAGCTGTACGAGTTAATATGAGCTAATAGCATGGCGACTCACTCGAGAGTGTCAAAAGAGATTTTGTAGTGCAGGTGCCTACGGTCTACCAGATTCGTTCCAACATTCGTGCTAGGGTTTAACGTTTAGGATTTATGTTCCGGGCGAGAGAAGCCTGCCGCCGAAGGGTTTACGGGTTTCCGGTTCCGGCTTACGGGTGTAGTAAAACCGGCTACAACCGCAACTCTGCCGAGCCATCTACATCTATGCAACCTAAGTCCTTTGCACAAAAGACTCGGTACTTGCCTCCTCCACGGCATCTGGCTGGGTTTGCGCCTTCTGCCCAAGGTGGCCAAATCGGGAAGAGGAAGGCCAACATTCAAGTTGGGAGTTCGCCGAATCAGTGATCCCTCTGGTGTTTGGGTACAGCAAGAAACCTCAGAGAAGCCCTGATTTAGAGAGCCACCCTATACCAACCACCACCAGCAGCTGAACCACAAAACAGCGTAGCTGGGCGACAAGGACCTCTGAGGTAAGCTTAGCAGAGGCCTGATAGTCATGGTAAGTAGCGGATGGTTAAGGGTTTAGGATTTAGGGCTTTAGGCTTTAGGGGTTTAGGGGTTCAAGGTTTAGGTCGTAGATGGAAGGTCCCGGCGAACAGCAAGATTTGAATTGGAGCTTCCTCACCCTGCATTTCCATGAGCTGACTGAGGCACTGAAAACCTCCTTTAGCCAGCCAACTAGAGACGAGAAGCAAGTTGGAAGGTTTAGGGTGTAGGGTTATTGTTAAGTTAAAACCTATAACTATAACCCTCTGAAACAGTTTTCTGAGGGGCTTTCCTGGCGGGGTTCAGATTGTATGCACCACTTCCAAGGGCCACAGTGATTGGAACGTTTCGCCGACAGCATCGCCTACTACGTCACAAGCCTTCCTGCGATTTTTGGTTAAGTTCCTCAGTGCTTGGCATAGCAGCGGGGCTTTGCTCAGTAGTAGATAAAGACTGTAACCCTACCTTCAACCTAAAGTCCTAAAGCTCCAACATACAGCGCCACCAAACACAATTCAGGAGCATCAAGCAATCGTGCACGCGCAGCCTCCTCCGCAGGGAATGTCCTGGACTGAGCCTGCCACTGTGCTGAGATGTGTAATTGAGGTGGCAGGGGTAGTACAGGCTGCCAGAAGAAAAAAAAACAAGAAGCAGAACGGTATGAAAACCGACAACAGCCAAAACTGGCCAAAACCTTCAGAACCAACACCAACCGGAAAAGCACTGCCGCTGCTGCCGTGTCTGATGCGTGTGGTGTGGCGGTGGTGGTTGTGTTGGTGCTGGTGGTGGTGGTGGTGGTGGTGGTGGTGCCGGTACCGGCACTCGTGCTGCTGCTGTCGCTGCACCTGCAGCTGCCACGACAACCTCGCCACCGCCACCACCACCACCACCACCACCACCGCCACCGCCACCAAAACCACCACCGCTACCGTGACGATTGCCATCATCACAACAGCCTCTGCTACCACATTCACCATCGCTAACTCCGATTGCTCGAGCAGCACCTATGCACCTAGCAGCTGCTTCTGTATGAGCATCCCCAGACTATGATTTTCTCCGTCTGCCAGCAAGTCGTTCGTGCGACGCCACTCTAGGCTGATAAAAACGGTGACACTCAGACATGAGCACCTGTCAGTGCATTCTGCCTGAAGTTTGCTGAAGTGCAGCATAGTATAGTATAGTATCACGCAAAGGTAGTCAAGAAACTGCTTTAACACAATCTCAGAACATTGTGGAATAATTCGTAAACATGCCGCAGTATCAGAAACTTGCTTTATCAGTGTGGTGATGCAGGCCAAATCGTTCCGTTAAAACATTTCGCGGAACGGTGTCTCTGACAGGCGGATGCTGCTCGGCTCAGGCTCTACTTTGCAAAAGCGGAGGCACAGAACCATAGTTGGGGTTTAGTAACACGGTTTAGGGTTTAGGGTTTAGTTAGGCTAGGGTTTAGTAACACGGCTTAGGGTTTAGGGTTTAGGGTTCTATTTTTTTGCCTCCCACCTAGCTAGGACGAAGCCCGCATTGCAGGGTACAGAACTACGTTTAAGGTTTAGGGTTTCGCCAGGGTTTGGGGCTTTCGGGTTCTCAAGTACTCATGGTTGCGCATAGCACAGGCCATCGTTCTGCCTGAGAGAGCCACATCCTTTACCTGCCATACGATTTTCCTAAATCCAACCGTTGCGCTTGGATGCGGCAGCAAGGTCCAGTCTTGCCGACATAATACGAATATAGCTAGCACTAACTAACCAACAGAACACCCGTGCTGGGCCCTATATGTCTGCTGGACTCAAACGTTCAACCCGGCACCCCAAACGGATGCCCCAAGCGACGGATCCACAAGAACTCCCTTCCACGCGAAAGCTCCCTATCTGCACTGCGTTCCCAGCAAATTCCAACTTACGTCTCCTCAGTCGACAAAGCTCCCGCAGGCGCAGGAGCGACAAGAGGGAGTTGCACTTACCGCTATCTTACCTGAAACGCAGACAGGAAGCCAGGCTCACTGTAGCGCGGAAAGGTAGCAAAAAAGGGCCGGATAGGCCAAAGAAACATGTAAAGACAACTCACAAAAGTGCTTCCGGAAACTCAAGGACTCTTCTCTCGGCTACTACCTCTAAGGAAAAGAGTGTTTGTCAATACTCGGGCTAGAGGCCCCACCTTCTGGGACAGTTGTGAATGACGATGGGGCAGTGACTTCCAACCCGGACTCGTCTTCCTTTCTTGCAAAGCCTTCACCTTAAACGGTGCAGTTTCTCCCACTTTGCAAGCCTGAAAAGGGCGGTTCCACTGCGATTCTTGAGAATCTCAGCAGCAGGCAGAAATCGAAAGATAGACATTCGCTGGTCCTTCAACTCCCCTCCGTCATCGGCTCATCGGCAGCAAGCAGTCCTGGCAGTCCTCGAGGCAATAGACCGTCGACCAGACCCTCCTCTTCTTGCCGGCGCCTTTCAACCACCTTTACGAACGCCTCGGGGTTCCGACTTACGGTATGCAAGTAGAGGTTGAGATGCGCCATTCGGAGCCGATGAAAGGCGTCGTCATATGGTGCTGGAAGCACTCCTTGTGGGAGACCTTGTGGGAGAACTTGTGCAGGTGCAGAAGACACGCAACTGCCGCCGCAGCCCATGCTGTTGCAGTCTCGCCAAGCCACAGGCCACTGGCGTCTAGACTGAACATCGAGCCCTCGGCTACGGTTTCGTCGAAAGAATTTAGGGGCCCGAAGATCCTGCACGGATTACATATCTCTTGGTGCTACCCACATGCGAGAGCAGCAACATGCCACATGCCAGAATCTCCTCCATATAACGGGTGTATATATGCGTATTTATGTATGCATGTATGTATGTACGTATGTATGTATAGTAGGTCCGTGTGTATGTAAGTATATGTATATGTATAACCGCATAACCTGAAACATACACAAACTTAGAAACAGCTAAATGGGTACATAAATAAGTCAACCTGGCATATGTATACATATACACACAAACGACATGATGTCGGACATGTCTGCAACAATATAGTAGCTGGAGACCGAAAACTTGAAGTCTTCCGGACTCACGACGGGTTCAATACCTAGCATTCATCAGCCGGGGATCTAGGACTCTGGCCCTTGCAGCCGCTTGCATCACAGAGTCTAGAACCGCCGAGAACATCGATCCCGCTGTCCAGCCCCCGAACCCTGAACTCTTGCCAATAATACAGGGCCTGAAGCTATGTATACATACAAACCTTTACACATACAGCAAACAACCCTACAGCCCTAAGAAATATATGTTTATACTAAGATACGCTAAGTGATGAGTCAAGCAACCATATTATGACCCTCAAACACAACCCTAAACCACTTATAGATCCCTTAAAGAAACCCTTTAAAGGATCCCTTAAAGAACCCTGGCCTTGCGAGTGACGTCTCCCTTGGCTTTGCGTGCGCTCGCCTGGCTGCGATTGTATGCGGACGATGACGCACTCGAACGTACTTAAGGGCCAAAGGGCCAAAGGGACTTAGTAGCAGGGTTATAATTGGATTTATAAGTCCGCTGAGTGGGGTAATCCTAATTGTAACCTCAATTGTAAGCTTAATTGCTAAGTCCCTTGGGTTAGGGTCTAGAGGTTCATCGAGGCTTTTAAATGTTTCGGGTTGCCGGGGGTTTTGGGGTTTAGGTTGTAGGCTTTGGGGACGTCCTATCTAATGGCAGTCGACTATAACCCCACGCTAAACCCTAAACCCTAAACCCTACACCCTAAACCGTTCTATTCGTTGAGCCCCCTAAGGTTTCGGAGTGTTTTTGACAAGGCTCTCAGCCTTGGCCCAACATTTCATGGTAAGGGCTGTCAATGTCATCTGCATGCGCCCGTGCATGTGCACATGTCTGCAGGGTTTAGGGTTTAGGGGTTGATTGGTGATCTATATCGTTTAATATTATATATAATATAACCTTTCTATTTCTTGTAGGACGTAAGGAGACAAAACTCCCCATATCTGTCGGCACACCCTCTGTTGATTGTCTGCTGGCGTTGTTTGGCTGGTGGGTGAATACTCTCTGTCTCTTGTTCGCTCTTCCTGCCGTGTGCATCCACACCTGCATCCACAAATGTATGCATCTACTGGCATCTACATAACTACGATGTTACTATGTGAACGTGCATGTATGTATACCAATACCGACATAAGTGCACACTAACGGGTTAACACAGTGACAAACACACACACACACACA